GAGAGAGAGAGAGAGAGAGAGAGAGAGAACTTAATTCTGTTTTGTTGTTGACGTCAGAATTCTGTTACCCGAACTACAGAACCCTCAGAACATACAGAATATTCAACGTATAGAATATGGGAGAGAGAGAGAGAGACAAGAAGAGAGCGTCAGTACAGTCAGCACATTGTACTGAACTTCACACCAAACTCTGATCGATAATAAACTGGCATTAGTTTAGAATAACGTTAAGAACGCCTCTTTTGTTCATAAAGTGTTTTTTGAAGTAATGGTCGACAAAATATTGTTGTGAAGAATCTATTATAGAAGATATTCTTCTATTAGGATTTCGTAACGAATTCCTAACACCAGAACAATAGCGGCCACATCTGTAAGGCTCACGAGTCCGGTGTCATGTCCTTCTGTCGGCCAAACATATGTGCAATCAGTACCAGTCGTCTCGACAAATGGCTTTTCGTTCGGCCATTAAATGCTGCTATAATTCTGGTTTTAATTTCGATAATTGAAATAACATTAATCCAATCTTCTCCTGAAGTCTTCACCAATTCATTCCTCGTCAGATTAAAACGAGACGCAGACAAACATATTGCTCATCAAATCGCTAAACGAAATGGTTTTATTAATTTAGGCGCCGTATGTATAACATTACCTTACATAGATTTATTTTATATTTGTTATATTCATTTGAGTTGTAATTTGTATTATATTTAATTATTTGATTATTGTCAAGATTTATTTATAACAACACCTAAATTTGTATTAATGTATATTTTACATTGATGTTATTTATTTGAAATACAGTCACTTACTGTGTTTTTCATTCAAGAATATGTGTGCAAAGAATGAATTCATTTTATTAGTGCATTCAATGTCGTTATATTAAACCAAACGTTTGGTTATTCCCTAAAGTCTTTCATGTAATATAAGATATTAAATGTTTAAAGATTTATTTTATAGTTTAAAAACAAAAAAGCATTAGAATTTGATCATCACTATTATCAAGAATATTTATTTAAATTTTTAACAAATGAAAGCATATCTTTAGCGATAAAATTTAGAAGTTTATATAATAATTAGATTATTTTACGACAACAATTTAGATTACAAGGAATTAATTAAAAAATTGATTAAATGTAAATTATAAATTGTTTGGACAGGTGTTGGGCTCCAGCAATGAGTTTCATTTTATGCACAGAGCGTTACCTCACGCCCGATCCAAACGCAGTTTATCTCATCACCGGATACTCAAATCTGACCCTTCGGTAAGCCCTACATTCATTTGATTATTATATTATTAATTTATAAGTAATTTTTAAATTGTTATTAACTTTTATTGTGCATTTGCTCAAATGATTCTTGCAAATTTAAACAATGAACTATCAATTTTCATATAATAATTATTCAAGTTTAATATTATTGTAATTATTTAATTAGTTATAATTTGTTAATTTAAATGTTTTAAGAATTAATTATTGCTTAATAAATGTATGTTTGATATGAGACGACATTGACATTGAAGTGCCGTCCTTTGTCTTAATTCACAATCAATTGTCAATTAAATATAGAGTTAGACTTAATTAATGTTTAATAAGATAATGAATAATAGTCTAATTGCTTATTGAAAAGACATTTAATTTCACAATCAGTTATCAATAATTAATTAATATTAGAGTAGAAATTACTATAAGTTCCAGAAGTTCTATAGAGTAGTCAGAAACTGAATTTATTGCTAACATATGTTTCAATAACTTTCAACCATTTTTAATAGTATTGTAATCTCAATCATATAAATAAAGTGAATTAATACATGTTTATGTAATTTAAGTAATAATAATTATTTACTAAATTTTAAAACATATAAATAATTTAATTTTATAATTTTCATTCAAAAATTCGATACTAATGTAATATTAATATTAATATTATATTAACGATAAGATTAAACAATGAACTATTCACTGCAAACTAAACTAAAAATATATAAATCTTTATTAAAATTTTAAACAATTAATTTTAATTATAGTTTTAAGTTTCGATGTTGTTTAAAGAAGGATGACAACGGTCATATAGTAAGCCGCCTAAGCTTACCTGTCACCATTTCATATTGACCATAATAATAATGGTCTGAGGTTTTTATTGATGGTGTCCACATGTCTCTAAGACTATCTTAAGTGACTTACTATAGGCCGGTTGTCATTCTTCTTTAACTCAATGAGGCTGTTGTCGTTGCAATTGGTTTCACAATACCTTTATATTCAATTTGATTTATGCATTGAACTCAATACGGAATTTAGTTATGATGCTTTTATTTGCAATTACATTTTATATTTATGTAATATTTGACAAAAATATAATGACATTCGATTGGATGTGAAATATGTACCAATGTCATTAATCTATTTATTCACATTAATACATATACAAATATTTATATATTAGTATATTGAGAGACAATTAATGTCTCTTAAATTTAAACAATTTTTTAAATTAATAATATTTGAAAATATAATCGACAATTATTAATTGAAATTCATAGAATATTTTGTTATATAAATTAAAGAATAATTAATAATCATCTAAATAAAAATTATTAAAACTCTTGGTTTAATAAAATTGTTAAATAAAATAATATATTATTTCATCCATTATATTGTTATTCTCCAAAAGACCTTAAAATCAATTATCTTTTATTCACAAACATTATAAATAAAATGATAAAATTGTTTATATTGATAGTAATGATGGATTTGTTTGTGTGTCCATTAATTTAGATACAATTTGCAACACAACAAATAGGATTTAGAAGAACTAAAAGAGGTTATACTAAACTAAGGCTCGGACCCGAAGACCTGTCTCTCAATAACGAACCAAATGATCCTTATTTTCAATTTCAATGGTATTTAGTAAGTATTAAATCAATTGTTATGTATTTCTATTATATTCCATATGAATGAAAATTTATTTAAAACAAAGAAAAATGTTGGACAAAACGGAGGCAAAAAACGTCTGGATCTTAACGTGGAAGCGGGTAATGATTGAATTAATTTAGACTTTAAAATGTATGCTAACATTCGCTATTATTTTCATAAAGCATGGGCTCAGGGAATCACCGGCAAGAATGTGACCACAGCTATAATGGATGATGGTTTGTATTGATTGATTTGTTCAACGATTGATAGATGTTTAAAATGGCTTTAATTATATTTATTTGTTTAGGCGTTGATTACATGCATCTCGATATTAGAGAGAATTACGTAAGTCTTAGAATTATATAAAATACTAGTAATTCTTATCATTAATATTTGTTCACAGAATGCGAGGGCTAGTTATGATTTCAGTAGTAATGATCCCTATCCTTATCCAAGATATACAGACGATTGGTTTAATAGGTAAACGTAACAACCAATGAAATGCTTATAATTACTAATGAGAAGCTTTATCTATAATAAAGTCACGGCACCCGATGTGCGGGTGAAGTGGCGGCCAAACGAGATAATGGCATTTGTGGTGTTGGAGTGGCTTATGATTCCAAAGTGGCCGGAATACGAATGTTAGACCAGCCATACATGACTGATCTCATTGAAGCCAATTCTATGGGTCACGAACCGGATCTCATCGACATATACAGCGCCAGTTGGGGACCAACTGATGACGGAAAGACAGTCGACGGACCCAGAAATGCAACCATGAGAGCCATTGTGCGCGGTGTCAACGAGGTATCACTTTAATGTCCAAACCATAAAATTATATAAAATTATTAGTGATAATAAATGTACAAAAATAACATCTAATTTTTATAATCATAATTTAGGGCCGAAGAGGTTTAGGAAACATCTATGTGTGGGCATCGGGTGATGGGGGAGAAGATGATGATTGTAATTGTGACGGTTATGCGGCCTCAATGTGGACCATATCTATTAATTCTGCGATAAATGACGGCCAGAATGCCCACTACGACGAGTCCTGTTCCAGTACTTTGGCCTCAACTTTCAGTAACGGCGCCAAAGATCCGCACACAGGAGTCGTGAGTATTTCCTTCTGATCTTTGAATCCAATATATTTGTGTTTTCAAAAATTATTAGAAATAATAATTGATTTCTGAACAAAATTTATTAGGAAATAATAAATTTCTTTATTCATAGCACTCATATTTAATGATTAATTAAAATTAGAATTAATCAAGAAATCGGTTTTTATTTAATGATTTGAGATAACGATAATAATGTAAATTGATTTGATTTTAGGCTACAACTGATTTGTACGGCAAGTGTACGAAAACACATTCGGGCACTTCAGCGGCTGCACCCGAAGCCGCCGGTGTTTTTGCGCTCGCATTAGAGGCTAAGTATGTCTTTTAGGAGTTAAGCTGCGAACGAGAAAAGCAATAAATGAATTGTAATTGCAGTCCAAACCTGACGTGGAGAGACGTACAGCACCTCTCAGTCCTCACATCGAAACGAAACTCTCTTTACGACAGCAAAAGAAGATTTAATTGGAATATGAATGGAGTGGGACTCGAGTTCAACCATCTGTTCGGTTATGGGGTTCTCGACGCCGGAGCGATGGTAGCGTTGGCTAAGCTTTGGAAATCAGTGCCGCCGAGGTTTCACTGCGAGGCCGGATCTGTGAACAAAGTGCTGCCCATCCCTACGAACCACAGTCTATATCTGGATATTAGCACAAATGCGTGCACAGGAAGCGACACTGAAGTGAACTATAACGAACATGTTCAATCTGTCATCACTTTGAATTCCACCAGAAGAGGAGACGTTACACTGTATTTGATTTCTCCAATGGGAACCCGGTTTGTGTTTCTTCGCCTTAGCCTTTGTTTGTGTGAATTTAATTATAAAACTAAACCAAATATTCTTTAGATCAATGATTCTAAGCCGACGACCGAATGATGACGACCGACACGACGGCTTCACGAAATGGCCATTTATGACAACCCATACGTGGGGTGAGAATCCGCGGGGCGTTTGGCGACTGGAGGTTCGCTTCGACAGTGAGAGCCCACAAATGGGATTCATTAAAGAGTGGACTCTTATGCTTCACGGAACCAAAGAGCAGCCCTACAAAGACCTACCCGTGTCTGACAGGAACTCCAAACTGGCGATCGTTAAGAAAGCGCATGAAGACAGGAATAAACATTAAGTTAATTACAAATACATTATAAAGCGTTGTTAAATCAAAATTGCTTACATTTATGCCAACAATATATTTGACATTTAATATGTTGTAATAATTTTTAATTATGTTTATTGTATTTTCTTTGCTTTTTTATTAATTGATCGCTACTTATGTAATCATTATTTTAATTATTTGAATTGTGTTGAGAGTTGTTTTGTGTTAAATTGTCTATAAGTTTTGCAAAATAATTATAGAAATATGTTTTTGATGTAAAACCAATTTATTAATAAACATATTTCTATAATTATATTAATGATTATTATTTTTGTTTTAAATCTATATTATAATTATAAATATGCCAAAAAGATCCCGATATAAATATATATGTATATGAAATGGTTGTTTTGACGATACTTTCACATCTCATGGACTTTATTGAATGAAACACTGGAATAATTTTGATAGGAATCCGAATACAGAATATATATATTTATTTATTATGATATTTGGAGAATGAGCGGCAAATTTGGGATAATTTTTCTAAAAAATAATCATTAAAACCCAGTGTTTCATACAATCAATTTCATGATATGGTGTGTATTGTGTATTGTATTGTAATATTCAATCTCTATTATGATTCCCATTTAACTTATTACAGTATAAAAACGTATAACTAATTATATGTTACATTTAAATCCAAACTTGTATTTTGTATAAAATACTAAATCTGTTTAAATTTTAAAATTTTTATTCTAAATATTATAATTAAAAAAAGGTATTAATATATTAATTACGAATTCAATATTTGTCTAAATGTTTATGAAATCAATGTTAAAATTAATTTTAATGAAAATATTGTGTTTTGTGTATAAAATTTAAAGATAAACTCAATTGTAACTAAAACTCTCTATTGAAGTGAAAATTGTTTTTTATTTTATAAATATTTCTTTATATAAAACAATTAAATGAAAAGAAAAATGTTTCAAAAGTTATCAAATTTAACAAAAGAAAAATGTCTATAAAACTGAAAACAACAAAACGAAAGCCCATTGTTTCGCACAACACTTAACTAAATTTGAATCGAAAATATATTTTAAAAATTAATGTTATTTTTGTCTGATTTCAAGTAAAATCGTGTTAAATATATCCAAAAATGGACTCATTTTTTATTTTAAATTTTCATTAAAAGACAATTTATTGGGAAATTTGTGAGAAATATAATTAAATTAAGATAATTATTAATTTGAAGGAATGAATGCAATGTCTGATGGGTTGTCTACTTCTTGGCGAACGTGATTTTGATGGCATGAGTTGGCGTCACTTTAAAGCCCTGCAGCGCGTCCTTCGCGGCTCCCGATTGGAACTCATTGTCAAACTCGACGAATGAGATGTCGTGTCTTCCGGGCACGAGTCGCACCTCTTTAAAGCCCGGGAACTGATTGAACAGCATTTGAAGCATCACTTCATTCGTCTCTTCGGGCAAATTGGTTAGGAATAGGATGTTATTCGGCGGCTGTTCTGTCAAAGCCGAGTGAGGAATACCCAAACTCTGCCCTCCGTTCTGACCGGAGCTCACATTCACTCTCTTCTCCTTCTTCTTCTTCTTGTGCTCTTCATTTCGCGGCAGTTTTGGTCGATCCACAAAAGTTCCCTTCATTTTCGCTATCAAATCGCTGTCTGTCTTCGCGTATGTTATCCTCTATAACACAAACACAGCATTTCATCAGTCAATCAATCAATATCATTTCGCGGCAGTTTTGGTCGATCCACAAAAGTTCCCTTCATTTTCGCTATCAAATCGCTGTCTGTCTTCGCGTATGTTATCCTCTATAACACAAACACAGCATTTCATCAATCAATCAATCAATACATCAGTCAATCAGACTTACCATCGGTTTGTCATAAAAGGGGAAGTTTTGCATTGATCTCAAAGCACTCGTAGCGCTGGACATGTCTTTGAATACGACAAACGCCTGTCCCCTCATCCTCAGTGTCTTCAACGCTACGATGTCGAGGATGTGTCCAAACTGTGAGAATATAGCGTGTAATGACTTCTTCAGCTCTAAACACATGAAAAGACAATCAAATTGAATAAAAGACAAATCATAACAAGACATGTGATATACTATACATACCATCCTTTTTAATCTTTTCATTTAAGTTATTGATATAAATGGTATGATTTGGCTTCACATCTGATCCACTCATCTCTAGTCACTATTTAATCACTCGATCGACAACTAAATCAATAAATGGTGTGAAAAATAGTCATTCAATTCAAAGTCTAAACGCAAACAAAAAGTATTTATTTAAATAAATAATTGTATGAATCGATAGATGGAAACACTGTTAACACTGTTTCCAACAATTCATGCAAAACTTATGAGGAATAATGATTTCAAATACAGAATATAAAATATACATGTATTTAATGAATATGATTTATTCATTATATTTGATATTGTACAATGTACAGTATGTGATTATATAAATGTTATAAACTGGTCATATATTTGCATATCTCAAACCTATACTTTCACTTATAATTGACATGTCATACAACTATTATCACAAATAAGTTTATGAAATGTCACTATTATTGACCCATTTTCAGTTCACAACCTTATATTCTACAGTCATTTCAATTCATAATTTGATTATTAAATGTCCTTCAGATTCAAGATTGCATACAGTATTGCAGTATTAAAGTGTATTAAAGTTAGCAATTTGTTCGCAAACTAAATATAATTACAAATTATCGATAAGTCTTGCATTGACTCCAATTCTATAAACTTATTATTTCCTGTAAAACTTGTGAAAATTCTTTATTTTTAAAATAAATATAAAATTTTATTTAACTCTTAATTTAGTATCTCTTGTACTCAATTGAAAATAATCGACTAATTTATAAGTAATTACTAATTATAATAAACAAAAAATCATATCAATTCAAAATTATTTGCTGTTTTAATGCTAAAGTTATGAATTTGAGTGTAATTTAGATGATTTGTTATGTCTGTGATTATACTCATAATAATGACAAATTACTCTATGTAATTTTATTTGACCGTAATATAATTTGACCGGTTTCTCCCTCTATAATACATAACGTAAAACAGCGCTCAAAATCGTTTGTACAGTTAAAGGTATTTAAAGTCATGCGCAGTCGAATCGGTCAAATAACATTACAGTCAGATTTTCTTCACTAGAGTTAATTCTGTTATTTAAACACATGACAGATTTGTCAATTTTACTCCCAATGCTATGAGTAATTATAAAATCAAATAAAAATTATAATGCAATACTTGAAAACAAAATTATAAAATGAATGATATTTACTATTTTTCACTTCTTTTTCAAACATTCATTTAAAATTTCATAAATTAAAGTTTAATTAATTTTGTATAACTTTGTATATAACTAAAAAGACATAGTAACTTTGTAAGAAATATATAACTTATTACTAAAAGTTAAGTATTTATCAGAATATTTTATGTAAATATATGTGATTTTTGTTGATTTCAAACTTCTAACTTATACTGTAAGATAATGTTCGTGAAAATGTATTCAATATAAATATTTTGAATTCCTATTATTGATTGACAATTATTAATTGCTATTAAAACTCGCCGTTAATTTAATTAAATGACACTATATTTCTAGTTTGATGCGAAAACTTAATTGATATTATTTATTGCATATCTACCAAAATATTTAAACATTTGTTTATTATCTAAAGTTTTAGCATTTTTATGAATTAATTTTCCTGGAAATTAAAACAAGTTTTTGAAGAACGAAATAATCCTATAATAAATTAATCAAATTTCGTTTGATATGTCATAATTGATAACTTATCAATAGATTGTGTCAAACATATTGTTTTGAGTTATAATTATATTTTTAATAAATAAAATTCAATGATTAATCTAAAAATGTTGTTACGTTTTTCACTTAATATTAATATTTGGCTAAATATTAGATTTTTAAGATTCAATAAATATTTTTAGTAATAATAAAATAATTGCTTTATTGAAAAGTTCTAAATAATAGTTATAAATTATGTTATTTTTAAGGTAGAATTATAATAAATTTATAGAATTATCAACCATAAAAACTGAAACTCAATTATTTTCAATAAATAGTTAGATTTATAGAATTATCAACCATCATATATTTATTGAATGATAATAATAATAATAATAATATCATGTGAAATAATGCAAAACAAAATTAAATATCATGTTGAATAAATAATAGAAAGTATTGATTATAGCAAATAACTTTATTGTCATGGTATATAACTTGAGTGATTAATTCAATAAGATTGTAATATTTATCGAGAATTTATATGAAGTTAATGTTAAACATTTAAAACTTCTTCAGACGTGTAGTGAAAGTAGAGATTGTAATGGATTACAAATTATCACTTTTTCGTAATTAAAAGCCGAAAAATGCATTGAAAATTGAGAATTTTATTTTGAAAAATGTTTAAAATTCAAATCAAAATTTATAATTTAATAATAAATACATTTGATTAATGAAAACATGAAACTATTGGATAACTTGTAACTTCTATCTAGACACTTTTGACAGTCTCTGATGGCTTGAAAACATTTCAAGTATTTGGAAAAGAGGATGACATGTATGGGTAGAGCAGTGGATGTATTAGTGATACTATGGTATGTATTCATAGAGTACTACTGTATTCATTGATAGCAGTGTTTATGTAATGTTTAGCGTTTGGTTGAGGCCTAAGACACGCCTCAATGTGTTTACGCTATAAAAGCATTCATACAAATCAATGCTTACAATAAATGCATACAATTATAGCGTTTTATTTCATATTTTATAAATTTGTATTCATTTTACACTGAATTTAGTTTATTTTCATTCAAATTGTCATCAATTTCTCAATTATTTATTTAATTGAATACAAATTGACTGACATTTCGGACAACATATCCATTGAATAGATGTTTGAATTATTAGTGCATTTATAGCACTAATCGACGGCTAAATTGCATTTAATTGAATGTAAGTTAACATTGAATTCAGATTTTATGTAAAAGTTAAACCATTTGTGATTTATATGATGTGTATATAGTTTTTGGTATCAATTGATTGGCAAAACAGTGACACAAATGACAATTCACTGAAATTGTTCGCAACTTTTGTATTCATTTATTGAATTGTCTGCGAATTTGGTGTCAAAACATTGGATCTAATGGCGAATAAAGTGGGCTTTTGGTGGTCGGAGAAGAAGTGTCTGAAGATTAATGTCAATGAATTGGAGGACAATTTTAGGGCTCGAGGCTATGAATTGATCAAGATCGATTTGGACTCTCCAATTGAACCTCAGGGTCCTTTCAGTGCCATTATTCATAAGTTGTCTGATGTTATGGTTAAAGCCCAACAGTCGGACCAATTGGCTCTCAAACAGATCCAACACTTTGAGGTACAGTAATGTCAATACATTTTCAATACTTCTCAACTATTGTCGTATAATTTGATGGCTTTTTGAAACTGAAATTCACTTGAATTCAGTTATAATTCAATTCATTGGAGACAACAACTGATATATTATCTCATTTGGCGTTTAATTTTATCAATAATTGCTTTTAATAATCGCTAATTTCTTAAAATACAATATAATGTGAATACAGTATATGTAATACATTAAAGTGTTTTGCAATTCAATGCATTTCATACACTCATTGATTACAATAGACATGAATTGTTTGTTTGCATAAATCTGTTGATTAGTTAATTATAACTCAACGCTTGAATAGTTTTATTATTCATTGAAAATGAGATCAAATTTAGCAGATATTTAATAAACCAAATCAAAGATAAGCAATCATTGACTGGTTATCAGAGTTCGTATATTTACTAACCATATATGAAATTAACGTTGAATTTGATTCAATGAATTGCATTCACCATATATTACATCAAATTAATCACAAATTCAGTGTTTGCTATAAATTATGATAATTTTAGAAAATGACTCATTTTTATGATTTAAAATTATTTTCGCAATGAAATAATTGAATTAATTGTCACTTTATGGATGTGTTGCCAAATATTTGATAAATTATTCTAAAAAAATATTAATTTAATGTATTCTTTGGTAATAAACGCATACTTTCCTCAAAATATGAGAATAGAAAAAAAAAGATTTGTTATTTCACAACAACTTTATTATTAGTTTAAGTAGTAATTGTTAGACACTCTATATTAGTTAGTTATACAAAATGAATGGATATTTTGTAAATATTTTTAAAATTTGATTAATTATCAGAGTAAGGCTTATTTTGACTGCGATTACAACTAAACTATTTCAGTTTATATTACAGTAATGTAAATGAATTCAATCGTTTGTAATTCAAGTATTTTATTATACGCTTGATATGAATGAATTATTATTTGATTTGAATTAAACGCCAGATAACAAGCACTTAAGAGACAGAATTTCAAAACATGATAAAAATATTTGTAGACCGATATCTGTAGACAATCTCGCAATCAAAACGCGTAGGGCTTGTAAAGTACCGCAATTTTGGCTTAACTTCGCGGACATGATATCCTATGCCTTAATTATGTAATAATTGTCACTAATGTTATTGATTTAAGGATTATGTGGACAAACATCCAGAGGTTGTAATTTTGGATCCGTTAGAGAACGTACGCAAACTGTTGGACAGATATCGTCAATACAAACTTATCGATGACAGCGAACTCGCGCGCGAAGGTATACCACCACTCGTTGTCATTAAACATGATTGAATCGACAATATATTGGTTGATATGTTTTGACAGACGGAGTCTTTACGCCTACTTTTGTCGAACTGAAGACAAATGATGTGAACGAGAACTTAGAGAAGTTGAAGGCAGCGGCTGTCAGTTTCCCATTCGGTTTGTCGACATTATTTCAATTGCATTTATTTTGATTACGAATTTTGCAATAGTTTGCAAACCACTGGTGGCTCACGGATCCAGTTATGCTCACCAGGTATTACACGTCCACTCAAATGCATACATATTCTTGTCATAATTTGCTATAAATGTGTGCTTTCAATGCAGATGTCATTAATATTTGGCGCATCTGGTCTTAAGACAATAAGCCCGCCCTGTGTTGCCCAGTCTTTTATCAATCATAACGCGCGGCTCTTTAAGCTGTTTCTGATTCGGGATAACTATTACGTAATCGAGAGACCATCGCTCAAGAACTTCAAATACGGAGGTCTGTGATCGCTAAGTGTTGAGAATCCGTACAATGAATTTTTGACCGCAAAATTTGCATTTTTCAGACATCGATTGTGAGCCCGTATTCTTCGACAGCCACGACATCTCGAAGCCGACGTCGTGTTGCGCTTTGACTGAATTGGACCGAAACGACGACACGTGTCAACCCATACGCGATCCCGAAAAGGAAAGACTCGACCGAATTGTAAAAGTGGTTTCAGACAAATTGGGTCTCTATTTGCTCGGAATAGATGTCATTATAGACAATAAGACGGGTCGATATGCCATCATCGATATGAATGCATTTCCAGGTCTCATATCTCCTCAGTTTTAACCCAAACACTTAAACCAATTATTTGTGACATTCATTTGAGTACTAATTAAATGTGTAATTATGTGAAGGTTATGACGGCGTCGACTCTTTCCTACAAACTCTATGCGATATAACGGTTGAAGAGATCGACAATAAGAGGAAAGGGATGCGAAAGACAAACGAAATAAACGAATTAAGTGCCAGAAGTGACGGAACCGATACTTCGCAGATAACGTGCCTTTCATTGCAATCAATGGTGAAAAGCGATGACAACAAGGATTGCACGAAACAAACCAAACATCCAGTGATTGTGCCGACGATTGAGGACAAGAAGAAGTGGACCGAAACGAGCGACAAGTCTGTGATCCAGAGTTTGCCACAAAACGGTACAAACGATTTCGATTCGGGAATCGATACGTCCGACTCTTGCGATGAAAACAAATGCAAAAAACAATTGCCAGTAAAGACTGTGCGGAGACAACACTCCAGGAGTTTCACCTATTCCTCCACTACAAGACCAGATGAACTCAATTCCATTTAAAACAATACCATTTGATTATAACTTTTCTATTATTATTTAATCCAAACATTTGTATTGAAAAATAAAATGCTATTAATTATTATAATTGTATCTAAAATTGCATTCATTTCTCATTATAATTGACACTAAATTAATTGAACTAATGGTCAGTTTGTGTGCAATGTCTAAATGTATGAATGAGTTCTGATTTAAGTTTTGATTTAATCGTTAAATTTAAAATTTCTGTTAAAAATCGTAAAAAGTCTGGAAATGTGAGAGCATTTCAAATGCTTAACGCATTTAAAGCGTGTTTTGAATGGCATTTAATGCAAGCATTGACTCAATGCATGAAACACACAGAAAGTACTACAGAAGCCATGCCTTCTCTGCCTTCTCTGCGTTCCAAGCGTTCACTTGCATTGACTACTCATTGCATGCTTTCATCCTTCCATACAATTCCAGAAACTTCTCGAACATTCCGTCGAATCGCGCCATTCATACGCTTTCCGGTAAATAGTTCTCAACTTTTGTTACAATTGTCACAATTTAGTCATTTTTGAGTCAAATAATACATTGAATTAGAGATTATACTATGGATTAACAGTGCATTGAATGCATAAGTGGTGGCAATGAGTGGTGTGAATGGTGTCTGACATAAAAGCCGGTGAATGTGTTGTTTGCAATGTATTGTTGCGCTGAGTCTCGAACTTTCCAAACTTGAATCCTATATAAAGCGAGCGTTCAGTGAATTCGAGCATTAATTCGATTCAAACTTTTGCTCAAATCGTTTGAAACGGTTTTCATTTGATTCAACACTTTTCGCAAACCATTTCATCGTTTGATTAATTGTTTTAATTGATTGATTGCTGAAGACATCGACCGAAATGCCGGAACAACCCGAGACCTTCGCCTTCCAGGCAGAGATCGCTCAACTCATGAGTTTGATTATCAACACCTTCTACAGCAACAAAGAGATCTTCTTGAGAGAACTCATCTCCAACTCCTCTGATGTAAGTATCCATTCATTCATTGATTTACTCATTGTTTGATTGATTTACTCATTGTTTGATTTATAAATTGTTGTATTTGTTGTGATTCCAGGCGTTAGATAAGATCCGATACGAGTCGTTGACCGACGCGTCCAAACTCGAGGCCCAGAAAGAGATGTTCATTAAAATCATTCCCAACAAAGAGGAGAAGACTCTGACCATCATTGACACCGGCATTGGTATGACTAAAGCCGATCTGATCAACAACTTGGGAACCATCGCTAAGTCGGGCACCAAAGCGTTTATGGAGGCCCTGCAGGCGGGCGCTGACATCTCTATGATCGGTCAGTTCGGTGTCGGCTTCTACTCGGCGTATCTGATCGCAGACAAAGTGACCGTCTTTTCCAAACACAACGACGACGAGCAGTACGTGTGGGAGTCGTCGGCCGGCGGTTCCTTCACCATCGCTTCGGACACCGGCGAGAGTATTGGCAGAGGAACTAAGATAATCCTTCACCTGAAAGAGGATCAGTTGGAATACGCCGAAGAGAAGCGCGTCAAAGAGATAGTGAAGAAACACTCGCAGTTCATCGGATACCCAATCAAACTGTTGGTGGAGAAGGAAAGAGAGAAAGAGGTGTCCGATGACGAGGAAGAGCCCGAAGACGCCGACAAGAAGGAGGAGAAGACCGACGAAGAGAAGAAAGAGGGCGGCGATGAAGACGAGCCCAAAGTAGAGGACGTCGAGGACTCCGACGACAAGAAAGACAAGAAGAAGAAGAAGAAAATAAAGGAGAAGTACGTCGAAGACGAAGAGTTGAACAAAACCAAACCTCTTTGGATGCGAAATCCCGATGATATCACTCAAGAGGAATACGGAGAGTTCTACAAGAGTTTGACCAACGACTGGGAGGACCACTTGGCTGTCAAACACTTCTCAGTCGAGGGACAGCTTGAGTTCAGAGCGTTGCTCTTTATCCCGAAGAGAGCGCCTTTTGATCTCTTCGAGAACAAGAAGCAGAAGAATAACATCAAGCTTTACGTCAGACGTGTCTTCATTATGGAGAACTGCGAAGAGCTGATCCCTGAATACCTAAACTTCGTGAAGGGTGTGGTCGACAGCGAAGACTTGCCATTGAATATCTCTCGAGAAACTCTTCAACAAAACAAGATTCTGAAAGTGATTCGTAAGAATTTGGTGAAGAAATGTCTGGAAATGTTTGAAGAGATCGCTGAAGACAGAGAGAACTACAAGAAACTGTACGAACAGTTCAGCAAAAACTTGAAACTCGGTATTCATGAGGACTCGACAAACCGTAAAAAGTTGGCCGATTTGTTGCGCTTCTATACGAGCGCTTCGGGCGATGAGGTGATCCCTCTGAAGGACTACGTGTCCCGAATGAAAGAGAATCAAAAGAGCATTTACTATATTACTGGCGAGAGTCGCGAAACGGTGGGCACGTCTTCGTTCGTCGAGTTGGTCAAGAAGAGGGGCTTCGAAGTGGTGTATATGGTTGAGCCCATCGATGAGTATTGCGTCCAACAGCTCAAGGAATACGAGGGCAAGACATTGGTGTCTGTGACCAAAGAGGGCCTCGAATTGCCCGAAGACGAGGACGAGAAGAAGAAACGCGAAGACGACAAGAAAAAGTTGGAGGCGTTGTGTAAAGTAATGAAAGACATTTTGGACAAAAAGGTAGAGAAGGTTGTGGTGTCCAACCGATTGGTGTCGAGTCCCTGTTGTATAGTCACGAGTCAGTACGGATGGACCGCTAATATGGAGCGCATTATGAAGGCTCAGGCGCTGAGAGACTCGTCTACTATGGGTTATATGGCGGCGAAGAAGCACTTGGAGATCAATCCGGACCACGCGATCATTGAGGCCCTCCGCCAGAAGGCCGACGCCGACAAGAATGACAAATCAGTGAAGGATCTGGTGATGCTTCTGTACGAAACATCGCTCCTCACCTCTGGCTTCTCTCTCGAGGACCCGCAGACCCACGCGTCGCGAATCCATCGAATGATCAAATTGGGTCTCGGCATCGAAGACGACGACATTCCGATGGCGGAAACCACTGGCGCCGCCGCAGCCGCTGAAGACATCCCACCTCTTGAGGGCGACGAAGAAGATGCCAGTCGTATGGAAGAAGTCGACTAAAAGTTGATTTATTAAAACTGAATTTCATTTTAGATATCAATCATTTTAGTATTCAATACTTAATACTTGTTTACAATTCTTTTTTATTTAAAATTATCTAAATTTGTATTAATTCAACAATTGTTTGTTTGTTTGTGTATTTCTCATAAACTTATTCACGAAATTAACATAAAATTTATTAAAAATTCATAAATTATTTGGAATTATAGAATGCATTGACTAATAATTATTAGTTGACTCTGAGTTAGACAACAGTACTGCTCCCGTCGTCTAGCATTTCGTTCACTTCGGCACCAATGCTGGGACTCGGACTCGATATCAATTGCATATTACCCTAAAGTATAGTAGAGTTAATGGTTAGTGTGAATGATAGTGAATGGGATGCTGTGGAGTACTGACCCATTTGCCCGGTCGAGCCCACGTGCAGACATAGCCCTCCTGACAGGCGGTGACAAAGCAGTCATCCCTGAAGACGAGAGATGTGAGCCTTTCATGAGCTATCTTTTTGCAAATGAGTGGTTCCAGGAGTGGCACCTCATCGAGTCGGGGGCAGATCGCTGTCCCCAACAGCCGGTTCGGGTCATCAATGAGTTTACTCGTGTGACTCGTTTTGTTGATACTATTCTTCTCACTATTACGTGAACCTAAACTGAAGTTTCGTTTGTGTTCTTTCTTATCACTGGATGTGGTTTTGATGACATGATTAACAGAGAGTATGTTAGCGTCGCTCACATTGTTTTCTTTGGGCACAGAGTTAGCCGTTTGGACGTTATTATTGCCTTTAGGAGAGAGGTATGCGTTGGCGCCGGACATCGAGGACAGGGGTGTTGACGGCGAGTGCAACAAAATACTAGTTCGCGAGCGACCGACCGGCTGTTTGAGCACATCATCACTTAAGTCCCACAAACAGATGTGTGTGTCCTGTCCTACACTTCCCAACCTATAGGACGTGATGTTCTGGGAATGAGTCGATCGAGTATTCAATCGATTTAAGCTGCCAGAGGTCGACCTGGAAGTGCTCGCAGACCTGCTGTTCACACCTGTGTTTATGGCATTGTATGAGTTGGTGGTGGGGTTGGACTCAGTGTTGGCGTTGAGGGCACCGCTCGGCTGTTGAGTCACGTCCTCTTCACTACCGCTTAAATCAAAGTTCTCGCTATAACTGGTGGTGAAGGGATCAAACGTGACGACACTGACCCACGACTTGTGGCCCTGACCTCTGGCCACCACTCGCTTCTCGCCGAAGGACCAGACGGTCACTAAGTCGTCTTCACCGCCCGTCACCACAAACTTGTTGTCAGGACTCCAACAAACACACAACAGTCCCCCGAAATAACTCCTCATCCGACCGATCAGTTCCATAGTGTCGTAGTTAAACACCCGAAGGAATCCGTCCTGACTTACGGTCGCTAAGTATTTACTACACGGACTGAATGCAAACTCATTGAGAGATCCCTCGCCTATAATCCACCGGAATATCGGATTTCTAGTGCTCTTTGTTTTACAGGTGAACACAGAGAAGCCGTCGCCCTGTTTGAAGAGCTGGTAATGTGGAGGTGTTGTACCGCACGGCAGGTCTTCCTTATACACATACATCTGTCCACTGCTGTGCGAAACGATGAAAAAGTTGGCCGAATTTGGTAACCATTTAAGACAAGTAACCTTTGATTTGTCGATTAATCTCTGTTTCAAAACAAATCAAAAACAATGAGTAAATTATGAAAATCAAGTCAAACATCAAATACTTCTTCATTATATAGTTTGGAGATTTCTTTCTTAATCGGATCAATGAGTTGTATTTGTCCGGCACTGAAACCAACCAATAAATACACACAATCGGTGGTAATGTTGGATGCGTTGAAATCATGACACGTCGGATACGTTCCCTTATATACCCTTTTGTCCACTGGTTTTGACAAATCGGCGGCCTTTCAGAGGAGAGATAGACATGAGTTCAATGAAATGATACAACAGATTATGTACTACTTTTTTAACGCCTTTATAGGTGTAGACATATAGTTCTCGGCCGACATTAAAGCAAATGCGATCAGTTGTGGAAGTGTTGGGCGAAGTGTTGGTCGATTGGACCGATTGGTTGGTAGGGTTGGGGTCAGTGGTGGTGGTGTTGTTGTGGTTGGTGTTGATTGTGGTGATGAACGACACTTTGACAGCCGTAGTGTTGGTTTGTGTGGTATAACCCAAACGGTTGGGTCGCGAATACTCGGCTGAAGTCATGAGTTTGTAATATCCCTCTCGAGTGACAAACTGTGTCTTAATCTCGTTATTATGGACTGATTCGCATCCAATTGAAGCCATTTTACTGTCGATCCAATTGTGAGATGTCTTGGATGGACATCACTGGGAGGCGAGGCGTTGTGGGCACACATCAGTCATCCCTTCATACCATTCATCGCGAATACAATCCATTAGTTTGTTATCAAAACTTAATTTCAATTTAGATTTTTTTTGTTTACTTTTTTTCTTTATTTACTTTAAATTTTTCGATTAATTTCTAAATTTAATACTATTTTTGTATTCAAAATCTCATATCAATTATTCGCACAAATTATATGTAAATAAAATTAAAACAAATACTATATAAATATTAAATATAATTAAAATAACAATTCAATCATTAGTTGTTTAACTCATTTTGATTTCACAAATCATTGCATTAAATATTAGCAAAGAGTCAATCATTCAAACACTACAATATACGGTTGAAAAAATTCCCGGAATATAATAAATATTCCCAATTGGGAATATTCCCAGTGGGAATATTCCCGGAACGTTCCCACCCAAAAAGCTCACTCACCAGATGGCGCCAGTAGTAAAGTGTG